ATTTTCGATGAAAGGTTTTTGATTATTAAATATTAGAAAAGCTGTTCTTCATTTTTAGTAGCAAAAAGTCTATCAAGAGACAGACTGTGTATATCCCAGGGTTCAACTCCACAAAAAAAAAGTGAGTAAGCTTCATCATCAGCTTCATCTGACAAAATTTAGTTTTTAGTGAAAAAAAAAAAAACACTTTAAAAGACATAGACAAACGAGACCTGAAGTCAGGATTCTCTGCCTTAGTTTTTACTTCTACATCCAACGTGTTTTCATGTAAACAGAGCACCTGTAGAGGTCAAGGGTCAAGTGTCACTTTAGGCATAGAGGGCAGATGTAAACGGATCCTCTGCGAAGATAATCACTCTGATTAGATCAGATTCAACGACTGAAAACTGGACACGACGTGTATTCAAATACAAACTATTTTTACAGCGTAATAAATAAACGTATATTTTCCCCACAGTCGTTTCCCCTGTAGTACTGTGCCCACAGCAGTATTCATTTCAACGTAAAAGTCTTCAACCATTCATTGGTATTTAAATCCTTCATAAAATGAAATGAATTTCACAGAGACACTGTATGAAAAGGTGTCAAATCAGTGAGGATTGTGTGACCTGTGACCTTTCAGTTTCTGGGGAAGTCAAAAAAAAAAAAAAAAAAATTAAAGTCCTTCATTCAGTACTGACAGACTGTGACCAACTGTAGTGTTTGCTGCTGCTGTGTTGAACTATTTATACACCTGACCTGACCTGACTGGAATGACATGTGATCGTCGCTGACGGATGTGCGTGTTTCTGACTGCAGTGAGTGCCTGCAGGGAACAGTGGGTCGGAGTTTTACCGCCTGTACCGTAACTGGACTGAACTGGGTCTGTCATTGTATGTTGTGGTGAACTTTTGTGTCTATGGTCATAGTGTTTGTTCCATGTTTCCTGAAGCCAAAATCCAACCTAGAGAAACAGATTAGTCAAGTGAGAAACGTACCAAAAACTTTGGACCCAAACTCTCTGGGGATCTGTGTAATAAAGTTGTACATGAGCTGAAGCCTAACAGTCACAGACAAAAAAAAATCATCTTTATTTTTAATAATTTTTACCAGTGTGTTCCTTTCTACCACAGTCAGTCGACTATTGATTACTGAATATTGATTCTGCTCCTGGTCGCCTCTGCAGCGTGACCTCGATGACTGCCGCAGGTCGACCATGAGGTGACAAAGCGTGATTTGTTGCTCAGTGCTAAGTCTCCTCGAACCAGTGTTAAAGCAAGAAGGTAAACCACTTTATATCATTAGTGGAACGCAGGACCTACACACGGATGTCACCATCAGGTCACAAAGAGTTAGAGCGCTTCCAAACGCTGCACGTGTTAATACTGCATTAACTACACAATCAGGTGGAGTCAGTCGGTCAAATACTTTCTCTCTAAGAGTTGTTTACCGTCAGAAAGAGTCTTTCTGTCAATATTAAGAATTTCTTTTCAGTCCAGAAGAGGAGGATGTTTGATTAAACACTGAAATACAAACATTTATCGCAGAAGTGAAACTGATAAACAGAAAATAAATGTTGATAATCATTCAGTTGTCTGTGTACTGACCAACTCAAAAAGGTTATTATTCAACAGTTTTTTTTTCCCTTCCGACAGCTGTTATATAGGGACAGACGAGGACATGTGATCCTCCTGACTGCGTGACCTCTTTGGCTACGGTGCTAAGACAATAGTGATCTACTGAGTCCAAATCTAGGCCACAAAGAGGCTTATGTTACGTAACAGACCGTTTTAACGCCTCAGCAATATTTCTGTGTTTCTACAGACGGGTCATAGCAGGATGAGGGTCATTAACTATTGACAATGTGGAAACTCTGAATAAAACAACAACGAGAGCATCAGAGCTTTAGTTCAGTGTGGACACTGATAAAACAGAGACTGAATGAGTTTAAAATGTACGTGTGCATCAGCAAAAGACAGGAAAAAAAGAAAAAGAAAATACAAGACAGACGACGACGACATCCATACATTTGTAGTGTCCCAGGTCAAAATTCTCTCTCTCTTTTTTTTATTCCAAACAGTTCAAGGGTTGATTTTTGTGATTCTTCTCTGAACTCTACCTGATCCATCAGGGAGGGACCTGACGAAGGTGGGCAGCATCTTGACGGTGGCCGTGGGGTTGGTGTCACTGTGGAGCCCGTTCTCCATCTCCCTGCGGAAACGACCCATGACGTCCTTCAGCGTCTCGTCCGACAGACGCATGGAGTACAGGTACTTGTCAATCTGAAGACAGAAAAACCAGATGTCACATGTCAACTGTCAGGACACAGTTACAGTGGCCAGTGGGTGGCAGTAGAGTCCATAGCTACGGTTTTAACATTAAAAGTCAAACATTGACATCTAGATGGAATGTTACATCACAACTCACTTTTTAAATTTAATTATTTATATGTTCATTATATTTTTTAGTACATCTAACACTGTGCACCTTGTAGAATTTTTTTAAATTTTTTTTCTTTTGACAGTGTTTTCGTGTCCTCCCAGGGCATTGACAGCCGTGTCAGTTAAGTTTGGATCCACGTCTGGTTATTGGTTAACTCAACAGGCCGTACACACACACGTTATACAATAGGACGACCATCTATATTTCCCAGGGATTGTGTGAATATTCTCCTCATGTTTTATTACCTTTAATTGTATTTCCATCTACATTAAAATTGTGTTATATGTGTGAAAAAGGATTGAAATATATATATATTTTAAAAAACATTAATAAAGTTAAAAACACTAAAATTTATTTTTTCTAAATGCTTAAAATTTTTTAAGTGATTTTTTTAAAAACACATTTGAAAAAAGATTTTATTAAATCACATGTGATAATGGGGGTGGATTTACACGGGACTCACTGTTATTGTTATATAATGACACATGAAACACACACTGGTCTACAAACATGTTAGCTTCCTGTCAGCCTTCTCCTCACAGCTCAACTATTATTAGTGTATTACACCAATGTACAGTGGTGTCCAGTCTGACGCCACGAGCCGCAAATGCAATAAGGAAATGAGTTTAATTTCCTTCTTTCTTTTTTTCTACAGTAGAGACTGAAGATTAAAAAGATAAAAATCTCAGTAATGACCAGAGAACAACACAGCTCGACTTCCTCCAGGCTCAACTTGGCTATTTGTGTGTGTTTGTGTTAAGTTGAATCTTAACTCAAGTTAGAAAAGTAACATTAAATGTAACTTTTTTGATGATGTGAGCTAAATCTCTTATAAAAATTTAATTGTTGTTAAGCCCAAAGTTCATCTGAATTTCCTGGGTCATTAGATTTTTATTTGTATTATTTTACAAACCTTTGATTTAGATTGTCATAGAACCCAGTTTAACGTGAATGGAATCAACTATCTCAGACCACGCAGAGTCCATTGCTCTTCATCCCTACTGGCACGTGCGCATACCGCACCGTGACATCACATACGACATGTTTGATCAGCCACTCCCCCCGACCACCTCTGCTGCCTCCTCCTGGGAACATCCTGCTGTTCCTTCATCTAATCCAGCAGCTAAACCTCAGGTCAGCGAGTCTTTTACTTCCTCCATATTTTTTTATTTTTTTATTAGCCATCACAACACTCTCAATGGCTCAAAGTCCTCTCTGAAATACTGTTCTTGGGTAATGAGTTGGACATGTCAGAAACTGAATGATGAAGTAGAAGAGCAGAGATGTGATTAAACAGGAAACATAAAACCTGATTGAGAGCAAGACGGGAGGAAGAGAGACAGGAAACAACAGGCCCTCAAAGACACCTGTCTGCTTCGGACACCATGGCAACCGTCGCACCAGAAACAGTCAGTCAGAAGGTCCCGTCTGTCTGTCTGTCTGTCTGTCTGTCTGTCACCAGTACAGACCACAGGCCTGTCGTCAAGGACACTGGTGTCAAACTCTGCCAAACCCAGATCCAAACCTCAACATGGCCTCCTCCGCTCCCCAAACCCTGCTGCATCCTCCTCCCCTCTTCCTGCCTGATAACAGCCCACTGTGTCAGGCAGCTCCAGTGAACTGCACACACGGCAGGTTACACAACACAGCAGGACTCTACTACGACTCCGGGATCACTCACCTTCTTGAGTTGATCATCCTTCAACTCAGTGAAGAAGTAGGCCAGGAGCTGAGCCGCTATCATCCTGCCTGCACGTCCGCCAGGAGCTGTCAGCCTCCGAGTGGTGGTCGGAGAGTAAAGAAGGAGGGAGAAGAATGCCGGTGTGCCTGTCCTCTCTCCTGTTTCCCCCCCTCAACACACACTGGATCCTCTTTGTCCTGAAATGGAGGACGTAAAAACAGACCGGGGCTGAGTGACCGGGGCAAGGTTGAGAGAGAGAAAGAGAGAGAGAGAGAGAGGAAAAAGTCTGGAACCAGAGTGCAGCAGTGGCTATGCTTGCTAGTCTGCGACAGGCGCACACTCACAGCCCTTCTCCTTACACACACACACACACACAGAGTGGTACACACAACCACACACTGAGGCTAGGTTTGTGTCCGTGTTCCCGCCCTCTCGGCCACCGGCGCCCTGTCAGCTCTGAGGAAACGGAGCAGATCTGCGATCACACTGGCTTAGCTGCGCTGCCCTGCCCCCAACTCACGCTCTGATTGGCTGAGCTGAAGGACAGGAAGAAGGGGAGAGAGGACATGAGAGGAGGGGGTTTCTCCCACGACAGCGGGAATAGAGAGGGAAGGAGGGAGGGGAGCGGGAGGAGGAGGCTGTCTATGTACCTGCCACCCTCTCTCTCTCTCTCTCTCTCCCGCTCTCTTGGTCTCTGACCGCCACAGTCCGTACCCCCCCCCCCCCCCCGGGGGCAGCACGTCTCATCGTTGCCATAGCACCAGGAGGTGGACGTGCCGAGGGACAGGGCGACCACAGGGTGACGTCATAACCGCTCACCCTACACTTGGAGATGGACGCCATCAGACTGATACCGTGGCATTTTTCCTCACGTTTACAAATGCAAGAGACTGAAGAAGTGACTCGTGACCATCATCGGCAACAGCTTGTCTCTCTGCAGCGGCCTAACAAGACAGTCCTAACAGGACAGTCCTAACAGGACAGTCCTAACAGGACAGTGATAACAAGACAGTCCTAACAGGACAGTCCTAACAAGACAGTCCTAACAAGACAGTCCTAACAGGACAGTCCTAACAAGACAGTCCTAACAGGACAGTCCTAACAGGACAGTCCTGTCCAATATGGCTAACCACATTCCCAGAGCTGACAAACTGAGAAGAATCACATTGATTTTTTACACCACAATGATAGCAACAGTTGACCGTAGTAAGGAGTTTTAAAATATTAAACAATGTCACATTTCACGGGCTTCAGAAAAATGATCTGTTGGCCCCATTTTGGGACCCGACCCCAAGACTTAAGATCAACATTCTGTAGCAATGACCACATAAGCGTCCCTCCAGCATCGTCAGATCTGTCTTGATCCTAGTCATCACTTACTCTGTTAGATATTACAGCATTAATTGTGGAAAATTTGTGGAGTCGTGTAGCAACTTCTCATCTTACACTGGATCTATAGTGATGTCGGCAAGTGTGTGCAGGCGGAAAAATTAAATACTCTTCCACTAGATGGCAGCAGATGGCTATAGAAGCTAAAAAAATAAAAAAGAGACTGTTGAAGATTTTCATGTATGCATTTTTTTTTC